AGATTACATTAAGGGGGATCCTCATTTACAATGTAGTTGACCATTATATGAAAACACATATTGAAAAAAAGTATTGAAAGGAGGAAATATAAATTTGTGAGAGTAAAACAATAGAAAAGAAAATAAAAAAGGACCAAATATTATTATTAAAACACTACATAAGACAGGAAATGTAGGAAACTATAACAAATAAGGTTAACAAATCAAAATGATCAAATAAGACTATTAAACAAAATAAAAATCTTAGTTCAGCTTATACAGAAACATAATATGTTGTGTCAAATGAGTTAGTGAAAGCCACCTGTCCCATGCAACACTTCGTAACACTGTTCCTTTGTAATGAGTACTAGAATCTAAACACTGTAAACCAGTCAGAAATGCAAATTAGCCAAAAGACAGATACCTCAGCTCTGAGAATTGGTACATTGCCTGTACTTAACCTGGCTCACTTGCCACTGAATTAACCTTCTCTCACAGCTAGTTGGTTAATTATTAATGATAGGGTTTTATTTCTTATCAAGTATACACACAGGCAAAAAGGGTGAAACTTTATAGCTAAATGCATACATATACTTAACATATAAAAAGGTTCCCATGCCTTATTGTACTGTCTGCAACACTGATACCTTCAGCACATTCTGATATGTTTTGGGATTGCAGTAAGAAATGCATTATAGACTGCTTTCAACAATTTTCTTTTTTGTTTATATGTCATTGGAAGTGGGCTTTACACATACAATTAGTATCAATGCTTTATTATAATTAATACTACCTTTATTAAAAAAATTAGATTTTTATGTATGTATTTTTTTTATTATACATCAACTGTTGTACTTCTCAAAAACAAAATAGATGCACAAAGTTTAGAATGAAATTATAATATTATATAATATCTATGTGATCTGATCTATTTGAAATCCCTATGGACAGGAATCCTTTTCTGTGTGATGACAGATTTATTTACACTACCTCAAAACGGTTCATTTTTGCTGATCTATCTACTGCAATCCAATTACGCAACTACTGCGACAGTGGCTATTACACTGCTATGATATTGTTTCCAATGAGAAGACTACTGCAGTGATTAATAAACCAGCTATTTGGTGTGGGATGCAACTGCATCATCTCTTAAGAAGCTAATATTAGTCCATTGAAATGAGCCCCCCCTTAGTAACCCATACTAAGAGTAACAACAATTTTACCATAATAAGAGCAACAACCATTAATAAATGCAAATGTCTGTGAAATAGAGTTGATCATTTGTTTTTGTAAATTTACATTTTATTTCTGTGTTAAAATACAGTATCTATGGTTTACTGACATGCATTTAACCATTAACAAACAAGGTATTGACCATTAAAATGTACAGTACTTTGACAGTAACGATACATCTGTTACAGTGTAGTCAACTCTCTGTAAAGGAGCAGGAAAAAAATCAAGCAAAAAAAAGTTTACACATCTTGTCCTTTATCTCAAACATCAGCCACAGCTTCAGTGTAAAACTAAGGAAGCTAAAACTAAAGAAAGTGGAAAAATTGGGTGACACATTTTTGTGATCCATTGTTTTAATTGGTTAATAAACATTAACCCCTTACAATTCTCCAATGCTCTTGTGTCTGAATGCATTCAGATCTTCACAGCATTGTTCCAACATCTAGTGTAAAGCATTTTCAGAATAGTAGAGGCTGTTGCTGCAGTGAAGAGGGACATAGTCTCTATTAATACTCTGTTGATTTCAGAAGAAACGCCGAATGAGCAAGTGTCTACGAACATAATGAATGTACAGTAGATTTCTGATCCTGAGTCTACATGTAACAAGTGCTAAACTGATTGTTTATTGCACTCTAATAATGTTTGATTTTCTGTTTTCTTTCTTTACTAGCTCAGGGCCCACTAAACTGATGGGCCACTCAGTGGTGGTCTACAAGGACAGCATGCTGCTCTTTGGTGGAGGAGAGACCCAGAGTGCCCCCAGGAACTGTCTATGGAGGTTCAGTCTGACCACATTAACCTGGGAGAAGCTCCCTTCACTGCCTGGATTCACCGCTCCATGCCGAGTTCACCACTGCACCGTGGGTCTTGGCCCTAATTTCCAGCCTGGACCACCCAATAATATCAGTGCTACCTTCCCATCAAAAAGCAACAACAACAATAAGCTCAGACCTTTCAAGAACAAGTGTTTCCCATCCAGTCCATCCACATGGCAGCCTGAAGAAGATATTGAACTTGAGACTATACGCATGGGGGAGAAAAATGGGCAGGCTTTAGACAAGACTAAGCCTTGGGGGAGCTGTCTTACCTTTGAGAACCACAAAGTTATGCGAGAGACAGAGGACAGTAAGCATTCAGCAGAGGAGACAGAGGACAGTTTGGCCCACGAAATGCCTAACCTGCTGCTCATATTAGGGGGTAAACCTCTAAAGGAGCAGGCTGCCATCGCAGTGTGGCAAATGACACTGGCAGAGAGCTGACTTAGAGGAGGTGAGCCATTATGTAAGAGGAAACAGAATGACTTTGGTTGTCCAGTACAAGCAAAATGTTAATGTACTGTTTAAGCCAGATGTTAATGCACTGTTGAATTAAAATATTTTACAAAAGCTTTTTATATATTGTTTTTTACATATGCACTGTATAAACTGTTTTATACATATATTTTTGTTTCCATTGTTTTACTCATTGTCTTCAGTACCGTAATTCTTAAAGTTTATTGTATTGCAACAACACAGATTTTCATATAATTAACATACCTCAAAGAGAAATATTTGTGCATTATGTTGACTGATGCTTATTTTTTATTAATATTTTGTTCAAGACAATGTATTACGCTAAGTACTATAATAGCCATGAAACAAAAGATTTGTATTACCAGTATTGCTATAATCATCAGATGCTTTTTACATTGTCTAGAGAGTCTTATCAGAGTCTTTAACATTGGTTTATATATATATAGACTTTTTTTTTTTTCTGACTTTTGAAAAATGTCAAATGTACCAAATATTTCTAATTTAAAAATAAACATAATGGACCTTATCATATACATTGTGATCTAATCATACTAAAAAGTTTAAAAAGTAGTTTTAGTTGTTTAATTTCTTGTTTAGATTTAACCTAATTAGGTGAAACAGTTCACCATATGTAGGCTACCTTCAAAATTCAGATTCAACTAATGCTTCTTTTAAAGACTGACAAATATGGGAAGATTTTGTAATGTAGAAATCAATAACTGTGGGAAATGTAACCCTTCATTAGCCGCATGTTTTTACCTGCTTATCTAAACAAGCGTTGATGATTAGATAAAAAAAGGAAATAGAATATATTATAAATACAAATATGAGTATATAAGTAACTGCTTTTTTCTTTTATCAGTAATAAATAAGAACAACATTAATTATCCTAATCTAAAATACAGTTCAAATAGACACAGAGAAGTGACCTCAACAAGTACATACTTTAAATGGCTTTGCTTTATACAAGCTGTAGTAAGAAACAGTAGTTCATGTTTGTTTGTATCTGTGTTGTAAGGACACTCAGGTGAGACCTTCAGTAGTCTAGGTTTTGTGCCAATGAGACGCAGGAGTCACACTAGAGAGTAACAGCAGGTCTGCAGTGATGTAAACCACACATGACCGTGACTGTCTTGGCCCACTAACCTATAAGAAATTGGCTCGCCGCTGAGGAAGTGTTATTTTTAGAGGGCTTTCACGCCGACGTCTGGTCACTCTCAGACGCTGTGGTTCACTTTTGGCCACGTTCCTCGTGTCCATGTGATGCACGTACGAGCCCAAAGCTCTTAATGAGAAGGCAGACAGAGGAAGGTACAGCAGAATGACCTGACCTGGCCGATTTACATGCACATTTGTTTATCATGAGATATCAAACTATTTGCTCTTCGTGATTCCACGGTCGTTAAACTTCTTATCCAGTGGAAGGCGCGCGCTTCTACATAACCATAAAACCTCCTTACATCCAAGGCAGCACACAGCGAAAATCTCAAATATGGATGGAATTATGAATGGAGCGATTATATCACGATTACATCAGGGAACAGTTCTATTTACTCAGTGAGTATCATCATTCATTCATTCGTTCATTCTAACGAGCCCTATGTAAATGTACCAATCATAGCGCAGGTTTATTAACTACCAGCCAATCCTAGCGCAGAAACAAGAACCACAAGCCGGTCCTCGTATGAACTACTAGCCAATCCCAGCGCAGGAGGCGGGGCGTTGTCGGAATACGAGTGGGAAAAAAACACAACGCGACCTGTATTATGCAGCGAGGCCAACAGATGGCGCCAAAACACTAAGTAAAAAGGCGTGATTCTCCATTCGCATCACTGTACAGAAACAAAGCATAGCACACGTTTGAACTCCACAGCCGGCACTTTTCCCCCTAAACAGTTTAGGATTAATTAATACATCATGGAACATGACGTCACGTGGTTTAATGTGATCAGAGAACCTGAACGACAATCGCTTCTTTTAAGTTCCAAATAAAACGACCGGTGTTGTTTAATGATCCTGTATATTTAAACACTCTTTACATTAATGAGCACAATCTGGAATTGGAATTAACAGTTCTGTTAAATAATAATAAGACCTGATGGCCCAGAACACTCATTTGTTGTTGCCTGAAAAAATACTGAGGGGCCAAAACTCAATTAAATGAGATATTAAGAGAGATCTTTATCTTCACATTTTTGAAAAAGACACTGCTGGTAAATGAGTGTTACACACAGACAGGCTATTGTACTGTACTGTACTGCATTGTCCTGTACTGTATTGTACTGTAATGCTCCTTCAAGGAAAACGTGGAAAGCGCTGAAAGCGAGACTGATGTTTTGACGGTTTACACTTCATTCAAGTGTCCAGTGGGCCATATATCCTTCACCTTGGCTGGCCATGCTGCTAATCACGGGTTGGAGTGGCTCCATGAGCCGCAGCTGATGCTGAGGCTCTCTCAGTCTCTTCTGCTTTCCTCCAGTTGGCGGAGCGCCCCGCGGGCCACGTGGTTTCAAGTATAAAAAACTTTGAGCGTGAGGTGGCTTCAGTGTCGTGATTGCGAGCGAGAAACCCCTAAAGGACAACATCCCTTCCTGAAGGCGCGCAGCCTACACGAGCACAGGACTCAGGACTCAGGAGTGGGAATTCCCTACAGTGCACTCAGACCAGAGAGAGAGAGAGAGAGAGAGAGAGAGGAGGAGGAGGAGGAGGAGGAGGAGGACAAATGCAAAAAACATCATTTGAATTCCAAGCGGCGAAGGAGGGAAAAAGAAGGTGTGAGACAGTGAGCAGTTTCTCGGAGAACTTCAGAAGGAACTAATACGCTAAGTCAGACCAGGAGCTGAGGGCTCTGCGAGTTTCGCTCGACCTGCACAGGCTTTCTTTTGCTTTGAGTCTTCACGCGTCGTGATCAGGAGATGCCAGCGCTGTCCCTACAAGAGAGGAGGCTTTCGTCTTTCATATCAGCTCTGTAGGAGCTGGAGCTCGAGCGTGGATGCTGGAGATCCTCGAGAGCGGCTCCATCCTGAGTAATGAGTGAAGGCGCGGCGCGTGGAGCTCTGTGTGAGAAGACAACAGCCCTCTACTGCTCCTGAGTGACATCCACGAGATCTTCCCGAGGAGGAACTAACGAGAACGAGTGTGTTTCGCTCCCTCTGCGGCTGCTTAAGCGTCTCGCGCTGCTCAGGCTGGACGGCAAACTCGCGCTGACCCCGTCCATCGGAAGCCAAAGCTGAAGTGAAGAAGAGAAAATGAGTCTGAGTTTGAGCTGCCTCGCGCTCTGCTTCGTGCTCTCCGTCCACTGGGCTCAGGCCCAGGAGTCGTGCAGCTCGTGCGGACTCGGCCGCCCGGACGACTCGGACAGAGTGGACACGGACTTCGTGGAGGCCGTCAAGAGGCACATACTGAGCCGGCTGCAGATGAGGCAGAGACCCAACATCACGCACCCCATCCCCAAGGCCGCCATGGTCACGGCGCTCAGGAAGCTCCACGCGGGCAAAGTGCGTGAGGACGGCAGGGTGGAGATACCGCACCTGGACGGCCAGGCCGCCTACGCCAACGAGGTGCAGGAGGAGACGTCGGAGATCATCAGCTTCGCAGAGTCAGGTGTGTACACAGCCGCGCGCGACAACGGGGGGTTAAGTCGTAAAGCAAAGGTCCGAATGGCCCTAGTCCGAACAGGACCGGGACTGAGCTCGGTTTAAAACAAAGAGCTGGACACTGTAGTTGTACTAGCTAAAAAAAACATCACTGAGATGATGGTTTGATTAATTATCATGTTTTATCCCTAATCGATTGGACCCTCTTTCACTTAACACAGGCAGAAAAGTAGTTCCTCTGGCGCAATGAAACGCTGAAGTGGGCGTAACACTGAAGTCGAGATGAGACTAAAACTATTTAGACTGACTTGCCTGGCAAAAGATCACTCTTCTGTGAAGCAGTTAAAGGGGAATTCATCGATTTTTTTTAAAAAAAATTCTGTGTAATGAAACCGCTAGGATGTAAACAAAGTGATTCAGAGTGTGTTGATGTGAAACAGTTCTCAAGAAACTTTCTGAGTCAGAATTATTCACAGTGGTGGTGACAGGAACCAGACGGCTGAAGACTGTAATGCCTGTAAAAGCTCTCTTACACAAAGTTATTACGTAAAAGTGGTATGAATATGCTGCCTAACGTCTGACACACTGTTTTATGACAGTTATGAGATAAAGTTCTGGCCTAAAATATATATTTTTCAAATCCGTTCATGGCGTTGTAAGGCAAAATAGTGCCCCAAAAACGTCTTTTTTCCTGCTTTACCATCATCAACATTTTATATAAAAACTCAGAAGGTGTGTAGGTTCACTGGTGATTTTAGGCAGTAAATATATGGCTGTATTTCATGCAGATGTCGTGACTCCTGGTTCCTCAGCACCACTGTAAAGAAATCTGAGCCTCTACAATGAACCGTTTCACATCAAACCACTCTTAATGACCACTGAATTATGCAGAAATTGTGAAATGGTGGATTTCCCCTTTCAAGCTTGTCCAGTAACTCTGAACTTAGCTACTAGTTAAAACAGCTCTTTTTACCAGAGATGCCCAATGACATCACAGTTCACAGTTATATCGGTATCGGCCGATTTTTGTTTCAAAACATAAATGAATATTGGACAGATGTTTAGATTGCAGGCAGTATTTAAAGGTGTATTCATTGTGCTGCTTTCTCCAAAGAGTAGATTTACAGGAGAAGGAAAAACATACTTAACTTTCAATGCAAGTTAATGTAAAAAGATTTTATTCGGTGTCATTTTGGACCATTTCGACTTCTCCATTGGTAATGAAATTTTGACACAGTATGAACGATATCTGGCATTTTCTAAATTTTTAAAAAAACTAAAAAAAGGACTAAACTGGATACACATAGCTTTGTTTTGTCAGCAACAAAATGTTACATTTATCTGTAGTGTTAATCTATGTGGATACAGTCCTACTAATTCATCACTGTCCAAAAAAAAACAAAAAATATATATATTTTTTATTTTTATTTTTCTACATCATTTGAACCCAGCAACTGTCCTTTATATTATGTACAAATTTCATGATGAATGGACCAATAGAAATGCTCCAAAATTACTTGCAAAAAATCCCATCACGTTTTTCCCTTCTCCTGTAAAGTTACTATTTTGGAGACACTTGTTTTTCGCTTGTTTGTTTTTGTGTTTTTTGGACAGTAATGAAATGAATATGTATGTGCATCAGCAGATATGTACATAAAAGTATTGGATATTGGTAGCAGCCATTCCCATATCGGTGCATCTCTACTTTTTTTTTTTTTTAAATGAAGAGTCAAGATGAATGAATCTTAACGTAACAGACTTAGCAACACAGTTGCTGGATTTCATTTGAAGAACGAACCTTTTTGCAGTTGCTTCACCGCTTATAAAAGCCCAAACCAATCTGCTGTCCATTTAGCATCCAAAGAAATATACGAGGCTCAGACAAAGAGCACACGCACATTGATACATTCATATGATAGGTATCCAGAAGATGCCTTCATTTTCTCACTCTCATCGGTAATAAAGAGTGGTAAAAAGGTTATAAGTGAGAGGTTAAGCATAACACTTTTCAAGTTGGCTCCCTTATCTCCCAGTCTCAAACACTGCACAGCACAATTAGCCTGGACAGTTTCCGAACCCCTTTCTCCACCAAGAATGATCTGAACACACTCATGACAAGGGAACAAAAGGGAGGCAATTATTGGTAGAGCACTGTGCGTTCTTGCTAAACCCAATATGTCAACATTGGGAACGAAAAAAAGAAAACAAAAGAAATCACTCAGAATAATGCATGAGACATTTGAGTCGTTGTGGGTGATGGAGGCTGGGATGGGGTGTGTGTGTGTGTGGGGAGGGGGGTGGTCCGCTCATATCGCAGTTCTGCAAAGAATGCTTTTAAAATATCAAAGCAAATCCAGGCTTCTTTGCATTTTCCCCCATTATTCATGACACCTTTGAACCTTTGAGCAGCATTGTGTCACGGAACTGGCTTTGGTCCCCGCTCTCTAGACCCCTTCTGCCTCAGGGCCAGCTGGCGCTAACCCCCAGAGTGGAGGCTGCCAGCCAGGGCATGGCTTTAGGACAAGCTCCCGAAGGCATTCTGCTTCTGAGCTGCTGAGCCTTAAGATGCGCTCTTCCAACTGCCCTGCAACTATATATGATACACAGGTGATAAGTGAGCAAATCAGTGCAGTTGTAGGCTGAGTGCTGTAAGTCATCTCAAGGGAGTACTGGATGCTTCTCTCTTTTTACTTTGTGGTGTGCAGCGTTGTTATCAGCCAGCAGGTTGGCTTATATCTCACACCCTGCTATAGGAGAGCAGAGCAGAGAGGCCTGCCAAGGTGCAGGTGAGGACAGCTGCCAGCTTCACGTCTCCGTTAACACTGTCCTATGGGCCGTTTCAGAAGGATTTGGTATCCCGTAGGCATGGAAGCGAAGCGAGAGATGTGGGCTTCTCATTTGTCGGTAACCATTCGGACTCACTGAACTCTTCATGTCCAGTCCGGCGCGGGGAATTAGGCTTTATTATTTTGACGTTATTCAGTGTGCCACTCCGTTCATAGGGTCAAAGGGTTTGCAACAGGACCTGCTCTTTCATCAAGAAATGCCAATCATACCCTGTCTGCATTGATCCCTTCGGCAAATCTTTGTTTTTTCCTGACATCGGATCCAGTTGTGGAAATTAGAGGTTACAGTGTTGGGAGATTGGCAGGAGGTCAGAATCTAATCAGACGGCAGGCCATATTCTTGGCCTTACTGATGTCCCGGCCAAGCAATTCACATGAAGCATTTCAAGCATGAGAGCAATCTCCAGTGAAGCGTTAGAATGAGCCGGCTGCTTATATGGTCAAAAGTCCAGTTACCCATGCGCTGCTTGACATTCCTCTTAAGGATTCTTGGAGGGATAAGGAGACCATTGCGGCTGCGTTGGCAAACCACCTCTGGTTTGCTGCTATCTTTGCAGTGGTGTGGAAGCGTGTGGTCTGTAGGTGTTTGAGCTGTTGAGTAATGAGTGTAGCGGATTATCAGCCGTGTTGTTTTGCTGGCAACACAGGTAGGAACACGCTGAGGCAGCTACAAGTGCAGTACATGCAGTGGCCCACCCAAGCATCAGCTGAGTCCCACAGGCTCCATCCCCCTGTCTCAAACTCTCACTTCTGGAGTGCTCAGCGTTAGCACACTGATGTGAAATCATCCAGACAATTGTACAGGATGCAAGATGCATAAATTTTACCTGAAAAAGTGCTTCAGATGGCTGAGATGTTACTATTTGGTTTTGGTTCTTAACTTGTATTTCTCTCTGTGCTTATCCTTATAAAGGAAAATTCAAAGTATAAAAAAATTTCAAAGTATAAAATTTTAAGTATAATTAAACCGTTAAGAGTTAATGGTTCATAGCAGTGGTGTTAGTAACCAGACTTCTGAAGCATTTAGTCGCTCTACAAGCTTCATCACAAGAAGCTATTACATGAAAAAGTTATGAATATGTTGCCTGATGCCAATGTTTTATGATAGTTTTAAGATGGTTTAAAACATATTTTTTTAGAATACATTCGTAGCAGGAGGGAACGTGCATGGCAAATGCTACCAAAGAAAATGTATTTTTTTCTATTTTATTACGAATTTATTATTATCAGCATTACAAATAAAATCTCAGAATACATGTGTACATTTACTCATCATTTTGAATATCAAATTTTTGATTTTGGTTATTTTGCAATTTAGACTTTTCACCCTCTTGTTACTACCACCACTGTAAATCTGAGTTGGTAAGTTTCTCTACAACATGTCACTTTACATCAAAATACTCTAAATGTATTTGAGTGCATCTCAACAACTGAATTATTGCAGTAATTTAGAAAAAAACAGTTGAATTCTTATTCATACTGCATTTATTTTAGGACCCATATGTAAGCACACATATTTTACATATTAGTTTCATTAGTAGTTACATAGTAGTCTTAGAATGAATAACTGAATAATAAGCCTATTTAAGTGGTTTCCTAAGAATAGGCACTTTAGGGAGCACTTGAACCGGTCATAGTTGGCCTATATTTTCTCAACATTGGCCCTTTAACATCAGGAACAATAACAGGAATATACTTCGAATGAGTCCTGTAAGAAAATAAAGTGTGAACGTGAGCCGATAATCAACCCATCTTTCGCCGGCCTCCCATGGAGTCGGACAGACAGTGCCGAGTGCCCATCTGTGGTCCAGCTCAGCTGAGAGTGGGCGCGCCCAATCAGAGCGTTGGCAGTGGGTCATGTGGCCACTTTCCAGACTGCACCCCACCTCCCTGCTTGGAGGGACTGTGTATACTAGTGGACATTGTTGCTCCAATACATCATTCAGTCCACTCCCCGGTGTGTATGGATGTCATTCATTTTAAGCAAAAGTTGAAGGAGTCACTGCACTACAAATATCTCTCAACAAGTGTCTTCTGAATTGTCATTTGTGCAGATTGAGTCACAACACTAGAATTCTTGTAACCAAGGGGCATAAAATAAGTTAATTGTGTTAAAAATTTACTTTTGTTACTTGTATTTGGCTACCTGACACAATGTCTTCAGGGCTTTATATTTTTGTCCCTTCTGAGCTTTAAACGTGAGCCATTTTAGGCCTGCCGAGAGGGCTGGTTTCCCTGTCAGAGACAGCAAAACGAGTCTGGACAGGGCTGAACCATTGCTACATAGGGGCAGGCAAACTGTCAGAGAAATGAGCCATCTTCGGATAGAAACTATTGACACTGACCTCACCTAATCAGTTTACAAACAAGACAATTTAACCATTTCAGCATGTGCCAGCAGCAAGCAGATCTGGTATTTCAACCAAGACAAAGATCACACAGAATATGATTAATTACACCATTCAGCACTAGGGTGACATCAGTAATTATCTTCTGCCTCAAAGGAGCAGTTAAAAAAGGAAAACAAAAGCCCAGCGTCCCAAACCTTTCAAAGTGCTGCGCTGTATTCTAAATACTGTTGTATTTAGAAAGTAGCCAGTGTCATGTAAATGGCTCTTATTTTTCCTCATCGTGCCTTTTATTTGAAGGCCACACGTTCAATGCTAGGCCATGCCACGGCTGTCTCCTAATACCTCACGGAGTGTATTATGCTGTCAGTCTCTGAGGCTCCAGGAGCTCCGGGGTTTTCACTGCACTCGCTGTGAACTCAATGAACCCCCCGGGGCAGGGCCCACCTCCACCCCTGCCCCCCTGCATCTGCAGCCCAAAGCACAAGGCCAAGTGGGCTCAGGCCCAGCGCTGCGCTGTTGCAGCCACTACTCCATCACTCTGGGTGGTATATACGAGTGCAACTGAGAGATCGTTTGAGGAATCTGGACCTGCCTGGGCTGTCATGTAATAACCAGAGCAACGTTAGACATGTAATTCCAAAATCCTCCTGAGGCATAAATAAGCGGGTATTAATCTTCAGTACTTTTTGGCACTTTCACACCACGCTTTCAGCCATGTATCAATTTAATGTCTTTGAACCCCATACACCTCACGTTATGGCATATTAGGCATAAGGCATATTAACCAATAACTACTATGAATTTCTTGGTAAACACTTTTATGAAAAACTAGTATGTGAAGTGTGTTGTTAGGAGAATAAGGTATAGAACTCTGGACCACTGATGGGTCCTTGAGAGTTTGAAGGGTTAACAAGGGAACATGTATGCTTAACCCATTAACATTCTAACAGGTCTAGACATCCATTCATAGTCTTTAATTATAACCCAGTCATTTTGGATTGTTTTCCATGTAGTTCTTGCATAATAAGTCTTAGGATGTGGACAACTGGATTAAACAAACCTCTCCTTTCTTTTCCTGTAGATGATTCAATCTCATCCAAGTCGACTCTCTACTTCATGATCTCCAATGAGGGCAACCAGAACCTGTACGTGCAGCAGGCCAACCTGTGGCTGTACTTCAAGCTCCTTCCCGGTGGGCCGGAGAAAGGCCTGCGGCGGAAGGTGACGGTGAAGGTGCACTACCAGGAGCCGTCGGTCCAGGGTGGTGGGCGCTGGCCGCTGGTGGAGAAGCGGGTGGAGCTGAAACGCAGTGGCTGGCACACCTTCCCGCTGTCTGAGGCGGTCCGGGCAGCGCTGGGCAAAGGAGGCCGGCGGCAGGACCTGGATGTGCACTGCGAGGACTGCGAGGCGGCCAGCGTGGTTCCCATTCTGGTAGACACCACTGACCCCTCACACCGGCCGTTCCTGGTAGTGCGCGCCCGGCAGGCCGACGGCAAGCACCGCATCCGGAAGCGTGGCTTGGAATGCGACGGTAACAGCGGCGGCCTGTGCTGCAGGCAGCAGTTCTACATCGACTTCCGACTCATCGGCTGGAACGACTGGATCATTGCGCCGGCCGGCTACTTCGGGAACTACTGCGAAGGCAGCTGTCCCGCCTACATGGCCGGCGTGCCTGGCTCGGCCTCCTCCTTCCACACAGCCGTGGTCAACCAGTACCGAATGAGGGGCATGAGCCCGGGCTCGGTGAACTCCTGCTGTATCCCCACCAAACTCAGCACCATGTCCATGCTCTACTTTGACGATGAGTACAACATCATCAAACGGGATGTCCCAAACATGATCGTGGAGGAATGCGGTTGCGCCTGAGGACCGTGTTGAAAGGTAGACTTTGAATTGAATCAAAGAACGATGTGACAGACATATTTATGGTCCGTGTGTACCACATGCATATAGATATTATTATATGTACACTCAGAACAAGTACAATCACGCATGTGCGTGTGTGCATGGAGCAGCGGTTCGTCAGATATGTGACAGAGGAGCGATTCGGTCCCTTCTTATGAATACAAAGGCTTTGAAACAAGAAGGGAAAAGTTATCACCAAAAGTTTATTTTTTTCTAGTTTGCCATTTCTAGAGTAAAAAAAAATGGCATGGGCCCTCTCCTCTCCAACTGTGAGGAAAGAGAGGGACATGTCTGACTTTACCTGTGACAAGCTGGTTTTGCCTATTGGTATGAGTACTTAGCAACAGCCGTTCCAAGACTCGTAAAAGCACTGACATATCAACGTCCTACACACTTCAAAACATCAGCACTTCAACAGCATTTCAAAGACAGCGACAGATTACTCCACTGAGGTGGGGTTTTCAGCAAATATGGATGATCCTCAAGGCATTCTCACTGCCATGGCTGAAACGATCAGCGGCATTGTTACATATCAGTCGGGTAGGCTAAATACAAACGGCAAACGGCCTCTTGGACGTCGGCATGCAGCAAAAACTGTTTCTCTCGCCCTGCGGATGCAAACATGTCCATGTGGCAGACCACTGAACCAAGGGAGGGAGGTCTGACAGGTGAAGTATGATGTTCTAACTGTTTGGCTGTGAACTTCAGTGGCTCATAAATGCTGTCAGCACCATGTGCTCTGTGGAGGCGTCATCATACTGACCAGCTGGCCGTACAGCACTTGCAAAAAGCGCTCGGAATGCACAATTTAAAGCACTTGCATTTTGAAATGCCTTCAAAAGAGTTCTCAAGAGGTGCACCTACCCTCATTCATAGTCCTAGTAATATAAAGTGCCGCATGAGCTATGCAATGTATAGTAACGGTGATCCACATCAGACTGAGCATTTTCTTCTGCTAATCTTTAACTCTTTATCAATACTTGAAATGTGATCTTTCGCTTGCTTTTCCAAAGCGGATGATTGTTGAAACGTTTGCACTGAAAAGTTGCGGAATTAATTAAAAGAACAAGAAAAACAAAAAAGACAAAAAAACTGCCATTGAGAAAAAGTTATTTTTATAGTAGTAAACTGAATTTTGTGAAAATGTATTTACCTTATAATGGAACCAAAGAGGCCAATATTTTAGCTATTATAATACAGTGGCAAGGCCATTACAATATGTGTAAAAAAATAATTGTTGATCCTTTTCAAGAGGCCTAATCACTGTATCAGGGTACAACAACATGGATTCCATTTTAGCCCATGTTCCTTTTGTTTTTGTTTTGTTTTGTTTTTTACTTTGTACAGCAAACTTATGGAACAGTCTTTTCACCTTTAATTCTCCAGTTTTCTATTTAATAAAACTTATTTCTAGCTGTTATTATAAAGTCAGTTAGTTAAACATATGTCATCTCTGTACAGTTTATGTAAAAATAAAAAATATGTTTTCTTAAATATTTTGTAACTTTAAAATAAATTCTTACTCTGCATCATAGTGCTTTGTTGTGGAAGTGGTTATTTGCAACATCAAAGATTATTATAATGACACTAGGGGTGGGAATCTCTAGGCACCTCACGATTCGATACGATTACGATTCAGAGGGCTGCGATGCGATTATAAAACGAGTATCGATGCATCTTGATGCATCTTTTTTTCTATATAGCATTTATATTTTCTCACTGTGTGAGCTCAAGTTTCGAGTTCAAGTTTATTTGTCACTTGCACAACATGTCAGGACATTTATGCATTGAAATGCTTGTGGTGAGGCTCAGCTAATCACTCTACAGAAAGTAAATAAGTAAAAATAAAAATACAAGAATAACCAACTGAAATATATTAAATACACAAAATATACACAAGATATATATAGAATGTAGAGACAATATACATTTTAAAGTGACTAAGTGACTCTGTGTTATTGTTATTTAAAGTGACTTGGTACTTTTAAAGCAAAGTATTTGTAATGATCCATAATGAATTTACTTCCAATATCTTTTTTAATAAAACAAATGGAAGTGATGTGGCAAGTGAACTGGAAGGCTCTCATTCAGTGCTCTTGTTTGGAGCACGAGAAGCTGCTGCTACTCATCTGCGATAAAATGCGCAGTTACGGTGTGTGTGGGGGGGGGGGTCGCTGTGTCAATAAAGTATCTTTGAGACGGGACGTGCGCAAAGCCCTGTTTCGCAACAACTGAGAATTGGCGTGCAGACTGCAGGTCACCTAGCAGCGATGCGTTATTCTCATTTATAAGCAGCGCAGTTGGTTTCCTGGTACGTTAAATCTGCAACGAGAGACTGTCAAACTGTAAAAAGTGGCGATGCTGAAGTCGCTTCTTTTTCGAATTCTTCCGTTCCACCTTAAATGGTGCCGTATTTTCATTCGGCGCCTCAGTCAGAATTTAAGGTGGAACGGGTAAATTCGAACATGAAGCTGGAGAATATGAACCGACTTCAGCCTCGGAAAACAGCGAACGATGAGAGACATTTAACTGATCTACTTCTGAGGGAAAGTTTTCTGGCGGAGATGGAGGAAAGCAGCTGTAGGCGAAGCTTAAAGCAGAGCGAAGTAAATCTGCGTTTTCATTTATATTGTTTAGCCTATACTAGGACATTATCACATACTCGACATTAAATGTTGTGGCTCCCAAGCTGGTTTGATTTTTGTTGAAAGGACAAAATGGCTCTTCTGAACATTTGTATTGTGACTCCTGATCTAACCTGGCTTTAATGCAGAGGGAGCCGGTCGGATTTCTCGCTCATCCAGTAGTGTTTTTGTTGTGTGCCGTCACAGACTGTCCGGGCGCTGCACTTCCCCACTTCCAAGTTCCGCCTTTTGCGTTCCGTCAACATTACGTCATAAATATAATATTTAGAAAATCAATTTTTGACATTTGTGAATCGATTCAGAATCGTTCATGTTTGCATCGCGATGCATCTACGAATCGATTTTTTCCCGCACCCCTAATTGACACATTGAAAAATGACAATTCAGGCACTCCTGAGCCATTGCAGTATGAGAATGAGAACGTGTCTTGTCTTCCAGCTTTGCTTCATGATGCAAGCAGATATGGTGCCAAGTATTCATGTCTCCAGTCAAGAGCACGGCAGATGCGGCAGATGTGACATACCAGTAAGCGCTTGAACAAAACATGCTGATAATATTTGTCATTCTTGGTGTCCTGTCAGCTGTGAGACTGAGGCAAAAGGATTCCCACCCTTCGACATGTAGCCACATGGTCTGATTACATCAGAATGGGTTCCCTGAAAGCCCTATCTGTGTGATGCCTTTTCTAGATCCTTGAGGCAGAGCTGTGAAAACAAGCTGGTATGCCGGAATACCTTAATCCAAAAAAAGCAGGCCTGCACACCTACCGGCAAGTGCAGTGTTTCTGCAGAATCCTAGTGCAACACTGCAAAACAAAGCAAAGCCTTCCAAAACATGCCACCCAACCCAAGGACACAGGCAGGATAATTGCCTGAAATTTAGCCTTCCCGCATCTGCCAAGTGAAGGAGATATGAGTGTTGTGTGAAATAACATGTTTGGGGTGGACTCTCAATCAAGAGAGCCAAGGAATGGGATGAGTCAGCACTGGTACTACTACTGGAGGGTGACAACTTGTTTGGTTGTGTGTGTGTGTGTGTGTGTGTGTGTGCGTGTGTGTGTGTGTGTGTGTGTGTGTGTGTGTGCATGTGTGACTATGTGTGTGTTTGACTGTATAATTTGTTTTGTGAGCAACAGAGAGAGAGAGATCATACGAGGCTGAGCTGTCTCATCATGCAGTGCAGCGTTAGCGGTGCCGGCATGGCTGCTGGAATGTTAATGACACCGTAGTTTTCCCCCCCGGCTACCTTGTGAAGCCACACACACATCCCTTCAACCATCACAGGCCAAAACACACACAGTACTGAATATGAAAGCAGCGTTAGGTCAACAAAGTTGAAAAGATTGATGGTAACATATCTCAACAAAGTTGCTTGGCTACGATGTAATAAACACGTGATGTCATGTACACCAACTAAAAAAAGACATAATTTCCATGACTTTAATGTAACATTCAGGTATCAGGCATGAATGAAAGATAACTGAAACTTGGAAATGTTTACCAAATGTTTTGGAATATAAGGTTTCCAGTGTGCTTAGAAGCCCAAAACAGACGATGAACAGATAGCATCAACCTGTCTATATACCCTCCTTACAAGTTAAGTAACATAGCAACCCTCAGGGCCTTCTAAGCCTACTGAGCCTTGAAAAGGGCAATGGAAAATGATCCAATCAGAATTTTTTTTTTCTGTGGTATCTGGGTAGATACAGTCAAGCATCCAAATTGCTTAGGAGGAGGAGCTGGAGATTGTTAGATTGACTACTAACATAATTGTGAAGAGACAACAGAAGGAACCAAATAAATTTTTTGAGTCGGACCAGTTTTGTAAGAATCCTCACTCTGGAGCTAATGCAGCTCTTTTACTGCCCTGTTGCAGCTTCATAGCAGAATTAGATTTTTAGGTCAAAATAAAATAATCCTCCTTTATAGTAAAATAAAGCTCTGCTGATCGTTCTAACACGGTTTTAACAATAAATGGTCTTAAACACTGGAGTTAATGTAAAACTGCTAATTCACCCTTTAACCCTGAAGGTTGGTGCGCAGACCGCTGGTCACCATAGCAACACAGACAACAATCTTGCCTGGCTAGTAATAAAAAAGCAAAGAGGGAGATTCAAGATGAATATAAGTAAATCGAAGACAAATGGTCTTATTTGTGTTTATAAGCACTCAGCTGGTTTCCTGAAACGTTTAATCTGCACCGAGAAACTGTCAAACACTAAAAAGTCACGAAGCTGAAGGCAATTTCTTATTCACCAGCTTCTTGTTGGACTTTTCCTGTTGTACCTTAAATGGTGCAGCGGTTACACTCTGGCACCTCAGGCACCATTTAAGGTGGAACGGGAAAACTCGAACAAGAAGCTGGGAATGAGAAGCTGACTTCTGCCTTGTAAGACATCAAACTTTTTCCAACATTTTACAAAAAACTATACTTCTTTTGCAAGTATCATGTGAGAACAGTGGCTATAGCTGAGCTAGGTTAAAGCTTAAAGCAGAGCAAAGTTCACATTTTAATATACACATATATTAGCTTATTCTAGTACAGCAGTACATACCTAGACATATTTACAGCCAAGATGGTAAAATGTACATAAAATGATTTTTGATGAAAGGACAAATGGCTCTTCTTAACATTTGAGTTGCTGACCCCTGCTCTAGGCCTTGTGAAAGTCCTAAATATGTCACTGTCTGTGAATACAAGGGGTAGCTTAACCAGGTTTCAGCCAGTTGTTAGAAATAGGAAAAAGCAGCAGCTCTATGCCAGGGCTCTTTACTGAAGGAGTCACTGTACAAGTGCTACATATAAGGTAAAATATGAAGAGTTT